CCCAGTTGACTTGTCGGTAAATTTTACCAGTTTTCACACTTTGTTGCACAGTAGCAACAAAGTCATTATGCAAAAACTGTTATCTGCACCTGCAATTCACGAGATTGAACTAATTGCACCGTCAGCTGCGTCCTTCACTCACATTTGTATCAAAGGGGATGCATCTGTAATGTGACACAGATGACATCGGATTGACACCCCCCAAAAAAAAAAAAAAATGTCTTGATGCATGCTCAATCATCCATATGTAAATCCCCAAAAGTTGATTCTGGTCTTTGATCAATGATCAGTGGTTGTTGATTAATGGTCATGATAATTTGCATATTAATGATCAAGGAACTGACCTCTCAGCCCATTGTTCATTCAGTGGTGCTTGCTTCAGTTAATGTGCAAATGTACTGTTTATAAGATTGGGGAAACCTGCAGTCAGCTGAGACTGTAGAAGTCACTTGGATGAGTGACGAAATGTTTCTCCCATTGAAAACGCTACGTCCAAATGAACAGAATCAACCTTTTGGGACCAACTGAAAAAGTCACAAACCTGATGACAGCTCTCATAGCAGCGAGGTGAACACTGGCTGACTGCAGAGGCTAAAACATCCAGCAGAGAGGAGTCTCAGTGAGACAACGATGCCAGTTATCAAGCTAAAGTGAAGTGAGCTGTGATTATACCAGAGTAATTAAAGTGGCATCCAAATATGGCTGCAAATTCAGCTCTGGCTGTCCCCACCATGGGTTTCTACCTCTGATTTTATACTTGTTGAAACTGCACTCTGGCAGTCTTGTGCTGTCATAAGCTTTTACCAGCTGTAGTTTGCATATTCACATCTTTATGCGTATCCCTGTGTTTCTCTGCACATGTGCTCCTCCTCAAATGTGTTTTTATCTTGGGCTGAGAGTTGGCACATTAAGCTGGACGCTCCTGCTCGGATTCTCAGGGCAGTACAAGGGTAAACAGAGATAGCTGTTTCCATGCATGTCGGTCCTGTGATAAGACCTTGGGACCTGTGTTACTGTTGCTCAGCCTGCCTGTTATTCTTTAATCTGCTGCTGCATGCAGTTTCTTTAATGTCACTTTCACACAGCTGATGAACACTTGTGTTTGAAGCGCCAGCTGCAGTCAGTGCACAATGCTTCAGAGTATATGAGAGATTGTAGTGAATTCATGGGTAATTTCTTTTTTATGAGATAAAGTTTGAGACAGAAAATGAGAGAAGGGATGCTGGGACAGCCGGGAGAGCGGGAAAAATGAGAGCGAAACCGCTCTGCTTGCACGAGATACGAGTACATCTGCCACTCCCGTCTCTGCCTCTTTTTCACTTTCCCGCCCACTTTTCTCCCTCTCCCATCCGCCCACCTCTAGCCTCCCTCTCGCTCTCTCCAATCTCATTTCCTGCTGTTCTGTCTTCTATCCAGTCCTGCTGTGTGTCAGTGTATCCGACTAATTCAATCTCCAGTACACAGGCACTCCAGTGTAATGACCCATGACATTCAATTAATGCTTCTTGGTAGGTTAAGTCACCAGTAATTGTATGTGTGTTTGCCTGATGTGCATGTGTGAATCCCTGAGTCGGTGCTGTGTGTATAATCTGGCAAGGGTGACAGCCAGGGTACACGCATTTGATGCCTTCGCATAAAGTAAAAAAACACATTTAAAAAAACTCAATGAATAAATAAATGTTGGTGTTGATCTCGTGGTCTGTGCAAAAGAAAAAAAAAGAACAGTTATCTTAGTGTGGTTGGGGTTTCTATACTGATGACATATGAAAACCCACAGCTGTCACTACGGGCTTATTTACTGTACTGTCATTACTCTTCGCATTATCACCATCGCTGCCTCTCGACCAGCTGTCACACTTATAGGATTGGTGTCAAGAGACTGTGGCACGTCCTTTAAGGGGGTTACGTGCGTCTGAGAGACACAGAGTAACAAACACAGTCACTCAACCTGACACACACGTGAACCTACATGGTGAAGGCAGAGCTAGCAAACACACACACACACACACAAAAATAAACACTGACAAAGAGGGTGGCTAAATTGGTGCTGATACACACAAACAGTTTTGAACACTCACACCCGTGGCCTCCTTTTAGCTTCGCGTGGCCTCTAGCAGATACTTTCAATTTGGATTAGCATAGCCTTTTGGAGCTTTCAGCTCATACTCATTATGACTGTAATCCAGTGTGTATTGTGCATCATCAGTGTCACCGTGGGCTTTCAGTATTTAATTACTAGTCTAACCTGGGTAATCTTCTAGTTATGCTGAAATAACAGTGCATGCAATTTAGAAACATATGCATTTAACACTATAGACTGATTGTTATGTCTTATCATTTATGCTAATCATCCACAGTACACTGCTTAATGTAACACGATCCTTCTGTTGCTCTGAGACCTTCATTAAACACACACACACATTAGGAATGACTTTAATTAAAAGAGGAAACTTTAAACAAAAGTCCTGTAACTTCCACATTAGGGAAGGTCAGGAAGAATGTCTCATTTGGGAAAACCATAGCAGTTCTTCCCCCCCCCCACCCGCCCACCCCCCCAACATTTACCCTGCTCATCCCATCTTGTCAAACCTATCTGTCATTTTGAAGCTTTTGTTTTTCTTCTCTCTCTTGTCCCTGCTCCATTTTCCCCCATTCTACCTCTGTCTTCGGTAATGATCTAATTAAGGCGGGTTTTGTTGCCTGCCCACTGTGTGTAATTGCCACTGGGGTGTGCCTGTACTTCGCTCTGCAATTACCAGCATCATTCTTTTGCTCCCGAATCAGCTAATTAAGCCTTATGGACAGCGAGGTGATTGTAGCCGCATTGAGCGTCACGAGGAGTCAGGAATGCCCGTTCTCTTGTCTCACTCCTGGGACACACAGAAATAGTGGATTTGCAGTGGTTGCCATGGTAGCCATCGCCCTGTCAGATCGTGTGCAGCGACTGTCAGTCAGATGATCGGTGTTTCTCTTTGTGTGTCTGTGTTTATCTGTTCATCTGTAACTGAGACAACAACTTTGCTCTAGGTCACCTCTTCTTTTCATTATTAAGGCTCAGTCTGCACAGGAGGGGACAGGAGGCCAAACAGAGCTTGTCACAGCTCCTGTTTAGGTCCCTGGGTGGACTGGCTGTCATTTTGATTGATTATATTGCCATCTCATGTAATGCTTGCCTTGCAGTATGTCCTCACTCGGCACTGCCTGACACATTTTTCCCACAAACTAGACCACAAACTTACTTCAAAATAATCTCAGCACTTTGTGGTGCAAACATGTGATTTAATTTGGTGCATGGTTGCTTGAAAATGTGATCAAAAATGACAAGTGGTTAGTCAGTAGTGAGATTCTTCATCCGGGTGACTTTTTTTTTTAATGTTCTCATCCACACGTCAAAGAAGTCATCACAAATGGGGAAACTACCTCTTAGAAGACAGCGTTTCCATGTTCCCACTAGACTTTTATCTTCTTTGAATCTAAATACAGCATCAAAACAAGAAAAATGGCTTTCACTGTTGCACCGTTGCATCCATCGAATCAGCTGTCTGCAGTGACTTGAAACTGAGTGCTAGAGGTATTATAGAATACAGAGCATCAGTGAGGAGTGTAAAACACTCATCTGTAGTATTCATATACTACATATATGGTTGTGGAACTCCTAAAAATAATGAAAATGCTAATTTAAGCCTCTTAGCTACCTCAGGTGTCGACGTTTGAACTCCAGTGCTTATTAAAGCACAGCCTCGGGCACTTATGTGCTATATGTCTCATACATAGCAGGTATCCTCTACAGTGCCATAAATTTGCATGGAAATTGCGTGAATAATGTGTGCCTATTTTCTAAATAGCCTTAGAGCTGATATTTGGCTGCTCATGCAGCTGCTCGTGTTCATTTAATATGGATTTGAACTGTGCAACTCACTCAAAGTTGGGCAAATTGCCGTTATTTTTACTGTGAGTATTGGATATTTCATTAGAAGCTTTTAGACCTTAAACGTTTTGACTCCACATTCTGAATTCTTTTCCCTCTCACATAGGTCTACTGTGCAATAAACTAATTGTAAAAAAAAAAATGTCATAGCAGCTCTGGTTTATTGGCTTCTCCATGTGGAACAAATTATGCAAACATTTGTGAGCTTGTCCTCGGTTGTGCTGACCTAAGTGGATCCTAAAGGTTGACGAAAGGCGAGTTTAAGCTAATGGGTACAGCGGCACTGCAATTAACTGCAATGTGCTACTAATTCTTGCTTTTTCTTGGCAGACCTAAATGTTTTTCGTCTTCAGTGGGGTACCCAAGACTGTACAATATGTGACTGCATATTTATTTTTAAACATACAATGTGCATCCATTTATCATTTTCCTAATAAAAATAAACTAATGAGGCACAGTAGTTCAATTCAGTTTTATTTAGATAGCACCAAATCAGTTGCAATCCTGCAACAATAGAGAGAAACCCAAAAAATCAGGGGATCCCCATGAGCAAGCACCTGGTGACTGTGGAAAGGAAAAAAACCCCTTTTGACAATATGAAATCTTCAGCATAACCAGGCTCAGGGAGGCGCAGCCATCCAACCTTGTGAGGGGAGGAAGACAAGATAACAGATACACTGTGGAGAGCCAGAGTTGAAATATAACAGTCGTGTGTATTAAGTCTGCCTGTTTTATATATATAAAAAAAATATCATATCTCTAAGAAATTGTTTTGTCTTATTTTGGTGGCTTCACTAAATCAGTGAAAACATATTACAAGAATCTTGGAAAGCAATAACTTCACTGTGAAAAATTTTCTGGTCCTTTATCTGCAGAGATCACATGCTTTTGTCTTGGTTTGTTTTGTTTGATTTAACAGAACTGCCATTTTCTTGATATTGAAAAAAGTCCAAAGGCATGATGTAAATGCCATAAATTTACTCTTGCAGAATTTGGTTCTATTTTCATAATAATAGTGGGCGATATTTCAGTTTCTCATGTTTCTCTCTCATTTCTGCTTTTTTTCTCCCAGGCTGTTAGCTCCTACTCTAGCAAACACAAGTAGATGACTGAGAACTCGGCCTCCCATGATGGACAAGAAAAGTGGTGAGTGTCGCCAAGCCTGTAGTTAAACAAGCAATCCTCTTTGCTTCTAACATGTGCAGCAACCTTTTTTAACAACTGTGAGAAGCTTAATAAGTCAGACTCTATTTTTTGCTTTTATTCTAATATATAATCTAGTTCATGACATAAAAGGTGACATTTTTATCTCGCTGTTCCTTTCATGTGGCCAAAAACAGCTATGGGCTTATTTCCTTCAGGTGATAACCACCCCGTCTCATACTGCATTCATAAGTTGACACAGCATGAGCAGCATTTTACATGCTGATTAGTTTGTTTTGGCGCAATCACTGCATGATAATTACTTCCCAGTAAGTGATCGGGTTTTACATAATGAAGCACTGTGTGTTCGGCACAGTACAACCTGGTTGCACGAGGGGGTGAAAAGAATTAATAATGCTGATGATATGTTATTTGGTTCATGTTCTTATTGTAAACTAATTGCACATGTTTAGTTCTTTCATATCGGATACTACAGTATTACTATGACTAGTCACTGAAGTATGAAAATAAGCACCAACTAATGACTTATTTCATTAATGAATCATTTGATGTTAATTCTTACAGCCAATGGCTTTCAGTCCAAGGCCAGTGAGGGTGGTGTTCAAAGGAAGCAGCTGCCCTACTCAGTGGAGACTCCCTATGGCTTCCACCTGGATCTTGATTTCCTCAAGTATGTTGATGATATTGAAAAAGGCAACACAATCAAAAGGGTCCACATTCAGCGCAGGGTAAAGGGCCCACCTAAATTCAGCACTCTGCCCAGAAATTTTAGTCTTCCTGGGCATGGAGTAAGGCCTCCCCCAAAGGAAAAGGACAGTACTTGGTCTGGGACGTCTACCCTGGGTCCCAAGCCTAAATCACGAGTGACAGAGGTTCAACAGATCTTTGACTTTCGAGCAAATGAAGGCGTGATTTCCAGCCAGAGCAGCAGGGGGACCACAAGTCCAGGAACTAGCTATGTTTCAACTAAACCCAAAGATGAAGTAGGCGCGGGGGCTCGCGGTGCTGAAGACAAAACTGGGGGGATTCAGATTCAGAGTCGTCCAAATCTGCTCAGAGCATCGAGCATGCCCATCACGCTACAGCAGCGTAAGAGTTCAGATTCAAGCAGTCCTGACCGTACCGTGGGAACACCAGAAAACGGCTCAACAGAGAACATGTTCCGGGCTTCACCAGACGTAACAGAAAGACGCTGTGTTCCCCAAGATCGAGCAGGTCTTCACCAGCAGATTACTGTTGCACTGAAGCGGGTCAGAGAGCTCGAGGAACAGGTCAAAACCATCCCAGAACTGAAAGCTCAGATCTGCTCTTTGAGGGAGGAGCGGGAGCAGCTGCTTCTTCAGCTACAAGCACAAGCCAAGGCCCAGGCTTCCAAATTATCTGCTACAGTACCAACAGGTTACGATTCTAGGACAAATAATCAATCGCAAGGACAGAGACCTTCACAGGAGATGAAGTTAGTTCTAAAGACTCAACCCACTGGACGTTTAGAAGACACAAGTCTTGGGCCATCAAACCAAGCTGCAGGGAAGGAGAAACAAGGTGAGACAGAGAAAACTAACGTGTTACTATCTGAAGTGGAGAGCTCGGCACAAGGAGAAAGTAGCATGTCGTCAGCACAAGAAGTGGAGAGACAATCACTGCAGCTGGACATACTTGAAAAACAAAAAGAAACAGAGAGTCCACTGGGACAGACAGTGCAAAAACTGCCACGAGACATTTCAGGGGAGGAATTACTATCTATCACAGTGGCTTTAAAAGAAACAGAGACTGCAGCAAAAGAAGGAAAACCAAAGGATCCAGATGATATGAAGAAGTTGCAGGAGAAGCTAACAGTACTAGAGGCTAAACTTATTCAGGCTAGCCAGGAGCTAGAGAGCACTAATGCTCTTTTGAAACAGCAAATAGAGGAGAACAAGCTAAAAGAGGAGAGAATACTACAACTGAGTGAGGGAACGAGAGTGGAGGTTTGCACCGCACATGAACGTCCAAGAAGAGAGAGCATTGACACAGGGACAGTGACAGAAAGGATAGATTTTACCCACCAAGAAACAGAGACAGAATCGCCTGGTACTGTAGATCAGGGGACAGACACTGAAAAAATCTGCATTGAAGTGTGCATACCAAAACAAGAGACTAAAAGTACAGATCAAGGACCAGTGACGGGAAAAGCTGACACGCATGACCAGGAGACAGAGATGGAGGCAGCGATAACAGCGACAAGTCCACCGAGGCCCAGAGCCAACAGCATGGAACGAGGCACACTAACCGAGAGCATCATCACCCTGGATCAGATGACCGAGACCCCCGTGGCCGAAAGGGTAAACCAAGTCACAGAAACAGAAGGCGAGATGGTGACGGACCATCCTCACAGACCGAGGGCCAGCAGTGTTGACAGAGGGACAGAGACAGAAAGGGTGGGCACTGTGGACAGAGTGACAGAGACAGAGGTAGCCCAGAGAGCAGACCAGCAGACTGAGACAGAGATGGAGAGACGTCATGACAACAACCCAGCCAGAGGTGTAGAAGCAGTGAGTCAAGTGAGTGAGAACACAGGCAGCCAAAGAGACGAAGTCGTGGTGAGCGAAAGAACAGAAGACAGGGAAACATACGAAAGAATTCAAAGAGAGAGTGAACGTTTAGTTGCTGAGGTTTTATCAGAAAGCTCAGCGGCAGCTGTAGAAAGCATAAAAACTTTAGATGTTGTTAGGAAGAATGAAGAGTGCGCCAGTTCGGCTGCTAAAGCAGAAGAAAATAAGATTAAAGTGAGTTCTGAACAAGATGACTCAGAAACAAAAGAAATTACAGAAGTGGTTGAAACAAGCCCAGCTGCCCTAGAGACTACAGAGAAGAAAGAAACAGGAGCCGGGGAGGTTATGTCTGCAGCAGTCAAAGAAACTGTAGCCGCTGACACTGTTGCAGTAACTGAGGGGAATTCAGCTGTGAAGACAGCAGCTCCTGTAAGACCACAAAGAGGCAGGAAACCCTCAGTGGAGCAAACTCAGCCGTCACCTCCTCAACTTCAGGTGGTGCCTGTGCGTCCTCGTAGGGGATCCAGTGAAACTCAGACCCAGCCGCAGACGAAAACCCAGCCCCAGGTGCAGGAACAGAGTGCAGCTCAGCTTGAAGCTCGGTCCCCAGAACAGCTCTCTGAAACACAGGTAAAACATCAAACACCGTCTGTGCCTCAGGTTGAGGACCACACTATAGCAAAGAAACCTCCTGGAGGGTCTGGAGAGAAGCAGTCTGAATCTCGACTTCAGTCTGAGACTCAGGCCGTGTCTCCGGGCTCTAGTGAAGTCCAAGTCAGGCCTAAATCAATACAAGCGCAATCTCAAACTTCTGCACCTCGGCGGGACTCAAAAGAGCTGAAAGCACCGCAGAGGGTGTCTGGTGCATCACACACTCCTAGACGGGGATCGGGAGAAGCCCAGACCCAACCACCTCGCCAAGCGTCAAGCGATGCTCAAACTCAACCTCAGGGTTCACGTAGAAGCTCCAGTGAGGCTCAGGCCCCTCCGAAAGATGCCAGTGAGACACAGTCACTGCGCAGAGGCTCCAGTGAAGCAGCTCAGCGCCGTGGCTCAAGCGAAGCCCAGGGTTCACGTCGCGACACCGGGGAGGCCCAGCCTCCTCGAAGAGGCTCCAGCGAATCACCAACATCGCCTGCAGCTTTGGGTCAAGTTGTAACTCGGATAACGGGGCTGCTAGGAGAGCAGTGGGCACATCTCGGAAGCAGCTCTGGCACTCAGCAAACAGCCAGCCAGCAGGAGAGCGCGAGCACACAGAAAAAGACGACAGGGAAAAGAGCAGAGGCTGGAAAGGCAACGTCAGCCAAGCCAGCGGGGAAAGCAGCCCCACCAGCAGCAGTGACAGGGAAACCAGCGGGGAAACCTGGTACTTCCAAAATGAGCTCCATTCAGAGCCAACTGGTCAGCTCCCTCAGTGTCCTCTCTGCCTTCTACTCCCCAAGCCAGAAGGCGGCTGCTGCCAGCAAACAGCAAGAACAAGGTAGGCCCGTGGTTCATCTGTCTGATAGCTGCTCACCTATTTGTATTAGCTAAAGCCATTTCTCTCTTATAGTCACTGAATAAATCCTTTCAAGGAGCATAATGATGCATTATCCATGCCGCTTCATTACAACATGTCCCTTATGATCTATAATTGTCATGAAGTATTATAAATGTGTACAGCTCATTAGCCTGAAACATTGACTTCTCTCCCTAAAAAGAACTCCTGCAGAAACAGCCAAACATTTTCAGTGTGGTTAGACAAACATCCATGGTTTCACTTGTATAGGCGCATCTTAGCCCTGCAAACTCTTACAAATGGTGCGTTCACAGCACAGATTTTTTTCATTGCAACTTGAAACCACACTGCTCCCATTCAATTACTGGGAACATTATACTCAAGTTGATATGCTGTCAAATTATCACTTCTCCTGCTTCTATGAATAGTACTGTACTACAAAAGTACTACAAAAGTTTTAGTGTGCCTTAGTCATGAAATTAGATGCTGTAATAGGATCGCGATAGAAATAAATGACATTGCTTAACTTATTTTAAGGTTAATATCTTGAAATTGATGTGCCTTTTCTTTCTGGAGAGCGCAGGCATTGTTAATATAAGACATATTACGCAGAGCACAAAATACACTGAGCACTGTTGCTACAGTAAATGTCAGTTTTACTCTGAAGTGCAGAGTGGAGGAGGGGTGAGGGATGGGGAGCTGGGAATAGGCATTTTTTTCTGTTATATACAAGAGTGGAAAAAAATCACACATTACTAAAAACTGTCAAAATGACATGGTTCAGTGACCTTCAAGAGCACACGTACACATTTCTTGTTTCCCACAATATATGCAAAGACAGAATCACACGGCAAAGTTCACACGTGTGGTTAAGCATCTATTTACAGTACACAGTCGAATGGATCCTTAAGCACCGGTCCTCACACATATATCAAACAGATGACGCCTCTCTCTTCCCTCCCCTGATATGTCTCTCCTGTTTCTGGTCATGGTACTCACTCGCTCAACTATCACACACATATTTTATTTTCAAAGTTCATCTACAGTTCAGTGCCGGGAGCACAGTGTGGTACAGGAGTGTTTTTAAGTCAGGTTTGAGATGTGCGTATTTCAGACCCATTTCTGAGGTGCCTATGGCTGATGTGAAGTTTCCCAGTGTGGCCTTTTAAACGTCTTATCATCTTCTGTGTGTGTTAAAAAGAAACGCCTACTGCTGCATTGAGGAATTCACTCATTCTAGTCAATCTGTGCCTTGAGTGAAATATCTCTGACAAAGCGAAGGAGGGTTAAATCACAAAACTAATTTATTTATTAGGAATTAGGAAAAGGATATTTTTATATTTCAAGTATGTTTCTAACCCTCCTCTCCATGTTGCTCTCCTGGGAGGTACTAGATCTAAAAGCATCATTCTTCTTAGATAGTGGTCCCTGGGAATTTTTTTTAAACTGGTATTTTTTGGCTCAAAGCTACGGTCTTGTGTCCTTGCATAAAACATTACAGATACTCTGCACCATGTCTGCTGTCACGCACAACTGAGACAGCTATACTGGGCTCACAGCCAAAGGGAGTCAGCATAAGAGCCCACACAGAATCAATTCCTGGGCAGTTACATACATAAATGGGCCTGGCAGAGTCAAGGTTGGATGTTGTCAATAAGGTGTATAGTCTTGACCTGTATATATTTCCATGGAGAATACTTCGAGGCCTTAGTGTGTACTTGGAAAGTTAAATCTAATTAAAAACTGAAGTATGTGCTTTAGATTTCAGTTCAGCAGTCTTAATTGTTGTCTTTGTATAGAGTATAGCAAATGGGGCTCTAGCTTTTCTGTTCTGTGTTAACACAAGCTTTCCACATCATTTGATTGGCTGTACTTACTCGTTGTGTTTTTCCCAATATCTTCCAGGCTCAAAATCACTGACATTCACATACAGACACAAGAGCACACAGAAACAAGCAGACAGACATACGTATAACACTAGCCCAAAGAAATACAGTCGCCGTTTCCAAATTGTTGTTGTCTGTTACCTAATGAGATAAAAGTCAATAACAATGTAAATGTAAGTGTACTATGTGCAAATGTAAATATAAACAAAATACAATGATTTACAAATCTCATCAACCCATATTTTATTCATAATGGGATGTAGAAACCATATCAAATGAAACATTATTAGGTCATTTTGAATTTGATAGCAGTAACGTGTCAAAAAAGTTCAGGTAGGTGCAACAAATGGCTGGAAAAGTAAGTGGTACTAAAAAAAAGAGCTAGAGGAGCATTTTGGGACTAAAGTTTATAATAAACTTGTGTGTAACATGATTGGGTATAAAAAGAGCATCGCAGAGAGGCAACATTTTACCAGTTTGCAAAAAAATTGCATCTATAAATTGGAGAATGATTTCAGAATAATGTTCCTCAATGCTATATTGCAAAGACATCATCTACAGTGCATAATATTATCAAAAGATTCTGCAAATTTGGAGAAATCTCTGTGCGCACGGGACAAGGCTCAAAATATTGGTTGCTTGTGATTGAGGTGGCAGACCTTTAAAAACAGGCATGATTCTGTCATGGAAATCAGTGCATGGGCTCAGGGACACTTCTAGAAATCTTTGTGAACACAGTTCATGAAGCCATACGCAAATGTAGGTTAAAACTTAAGAAAGCTGCGAACATGAATCAGAAACGTCACCATCTTCTCTGGGCCAAAGGTCATTTAAAATGTAATGAGGAAAAGTGGAAAACTGTTCTGTAGTCAGATGATTTAAAATGTGAAATAAAGGATACCGCCTCCTCCGTACTGAAGAAGAAATGGACCTTTGGGCTCATTATCAGTACTTAGCTCAAAAACCTGCATCACTGATGTTATGGGGCTGTATTTATTCTAACCATAAGCCTGTAAAGGTGACAGATCTTAAAACACTGAGACACTGTGAAGTCCTCTGACTCATATCACACTGTTTAGTTGTGAGGATGTTTCAAATAACTTGAACTTGAGCACACACACAAAATATACATGCACACACCCAAATTCCACAGAAACCCTATTAATTTTTACTTTCCTCATTTTTATTTTTCATCTTCTCCTCTGCCTCTCGCTCTGTCCTCCTCTTCACTAGGTCTCAAATCCATCATGAAGAAAAATGGTGCAGCAGGCAAGCAGGGGAACAAGGGAGCCAAGAAAAACCTGAAGTTTGTGGGGGTGAATGGAGGGTAAAATCTTCTTTTTAGTCATCGTCCAATCTCTTTGTGATTTATATCTTTGTGTGGGCTGAAATGTGTTTTGTGCACTTATATTTTCATGCTTTTGTCAGTCTTCATCTTTATAGGAAAAATAATGTGTTGCCACTTCTGATTAATGTAAAAAATCCCCTTTTATCTTGATTTAGTTCATTAAAAGTATTTGTTATTAGGTTTGATGTGTTACTGTATGCAAAGGGGCTTCAAGTTTGATGGATTACCCACAAATGTATTTTTCAATGTTGTGGTTAATCCACATAACCACACATTATGTGAAAAAATTCAGAAAGAGCAAAAGATACAGGATTGTCTGAGAAATTTGATTTGATGTTATTTGATTTCTTCATCTTTGTGTGTAGAAATCCACAGACGACAGTTTGGATTTTCATGCACCTGTATTTCAGGCTACATGAGGTCCATTCGTAACAAACACTCTTTTCATTCAAAAAAAAAAATTGTCTGTGCAGCAGTGTTAATCTTTTGTCATTTAGCCATGTATGCGTCAGCTTTGTCACTGTTTTAAACTTGGATATTAAGCTGTACTTCAGACATCTGCTTCTTGCTTTTTGTCAGGCTCACTAAAGACACGTTGTCCTGAATCTGACCTTGCTGCTGCTTCTGCTGGTGTGCTAATATGCCTGCATTAATGTGTGTTTAGATTATGTGATATGCATGCATAGTTTCTGTTGATGGCACCTAGGTGATTGTGCTAGCGTGCTTATGTCAGCATTTGCTGATGCTGGTTGAAGTGTGTGTGTGTGTGTGTGTTTATGAATTTAAAGTATGGGGATGGCAGTGGTTCTCAATTTTTTTTCTGGCATTGCTCACACAGTGCAATTTTCTGTTATTAAATCTAAGGAAGGAATTGTATTTTAGTAAAATAAAACTCAAGAGCAGTTCAGTAATTCAGTTAAGTGGTTTTTCTGTCTCAATTATATAACTTCACTATACTTAAATGTTTTTCAGGCTTTATTGACCTGAAAAATTCTTCATAAAGAATATTTTTACGGTGTCATCTTTAAGATGCTTTGCAGACTTTGTTGTGCTGCTGCTCAAGTGGTTAGCTGCTAGTGGAGTGAGAGGCTTCTTGTCTAAGCTGCTGTGCTGGTATCAGTAATATTGCAAAGGGGTATTTAATGTGTTAGCAATTTTTTAGCATCGATTAGCATCCGCGTATCCTGTTCTTTAAACAACTAAACTAACTTTATCTAAACTACTGGAAAAGGGAAAAAAGTACCACTGTGTTTTCAAAGTTTTGTTATTGAGAAGATAAGTATTGGTTCTGGTGATTTACCTACTAATGAGGTAGACAATCACAAAGCAGGAAAAGCAGGAAAACTACAAGATATGAGGAAACTAACCTTCAAAGTAAAATTTGGGCACAAAGACTTGCTATAAAGTTGCATTTGTTCTTAGGTCATGCTTACAGCATGATTTCATATCCTGTTGTGGTCGTTTACAGTATTTCTCATCACTTACGTAAAAAGTTTCTGTTTTAAATTCCTGGCTATTTTAATCTCCTGCATATGACGGAAATGGCTGCCATGCATAACATTTGTTTTATTCCCGTGTTCCTGCTCTTACATTCCTGGGCTTCACTGTTTTATGACCTGCTCACCTTTGCAGTGTTTTTGCAGACTGTTGTGGTGTAGTCCATTCCTTCCTCCCTTCAACACAATGATCTGCAAACATACCCACATTCAGAAGAACACGTAACAGATTTTTTATGGTATTGCAAGAATCCATTCCTTATAAACTTGGACTAATATGTTTAATAAATTAGATTATATAAAACTTTTTGACATCTAGTGTACATCTCTTTTGGTTTCATTTCAACCTCTATAAATATTTGACCATTTCCATCTTCCGCCCACCCAATCCTGAAATATGCAGATGTTATTTATAATGAGGCAAACATGTCAGGCAACAATATTTTCTCTGACTATCTTTAGGCTTCTGCCCACAGCAGGAAGTGGTCTGCTGTTCATACTTCTTCTCTTTGTATAGTCTAACCTATCTCTGCTCTCCCTTGAGCTCCTCTGGAATCTCGAGAATGCTGTGGCCCCTGAACGTCTCTTGTGGTGTCTCAGTTTGTCTCTGTGTGTCTACAAGAAGTCTGAATCAGTGGTATTCAGACTTCTGATCACTGGCCTTACAGAGGTGACTTGATGATGCGCCCCAGTAATCACACTTATATACAAGCTACTCCAGCAGCCTCTGCAGCATATCGTTAGCCTTTTCTCAACGAACAAGGTTGTATGTTGTTCAAGGCTGTGTGTTTGTGCTCAAACATGTCTGTGGCTTTTTATGTATGTTTAAATTATGTTTATGTTAGGATATGAGGGCAAGGCTGCACAAGGCAAACATCTTTTTCATCTCACTTGTGAAGTCTAGAGGGGAATAACCTGTTAGTATTTATCCTGTCTTGCCTGGTGCTGACTTAACATTGACTTAATATTAGTTTTACCTGCTTAGACATTTCCTTAGTGATGCTGCTAGTGCTGTACAAACTTAGCTTTAGCTTGTGGAAGGATTTGAATGATTTCTGTGGAGCTGTTATAGAATCTGCCGTCATCTTTATTATGTTCTCTTTAAGATATGAGACGACATCCAGTGAAGAGTCCAGTGGAGATGAGAAGTCAAAGGTGGAGGTAGAAGAGGAAGATAGCTCAGAACCAGAAGTGGAGAAGGAGCCTGAGAAGGAGCCTGAGAAGGAGCCAGAGGAGGGAGCAGAAGCCCAGAGAAAAGTTGCAGAGGTCCCAACTGAGGGAGGAGGTGACGTGGCTAAAGAGAAGGAGACTGAAAGAGGTCTGCTGGATCCAGAAAGTAGCCAGGAGCTCCTGGAAGAGCAGGCTGGAGGGTGAGACCGACAGCAGAGCTTAAATTCTAATCTTGGGTTACCGTGTTGCACTTTATGTGTTTCTCATAAATGTAACTGAGGATTGGGTCTGCTATGATACCAAATGGTTTCTCCATGAACTGCTATTTGGTATTATTTTACAAATATAGAACAAAAATAACCACATTTGCAGAATTTGCTAGAAGCAGTGTTGGGTTGTTACTCAAAAAAGTTGTTGCACTTGTTACTTGTTACACTACTCATTACTTTTTTGCAATGACCAGAAACAAATTGGCACTTAATTACCAGTTATAGAAACCTCAGTCTACAGTTCCACAAACCAGCAAATATACTTATGTTAAGGACACAATACATAGGATCATTCTTTTACTATTTATGAGCACAAAACCATCAACACAAAGCAAAAATGAAAACCAGCCAAAAAGGCTTTAAAGCAATCAACAGAGTAATTCTACTGTACAAACACATACAGCGAAAAACTGAGGCTTAAAGCTGCTTTTGTTACTTGTTGAAGTTCAGGCTCTGGCTGCAGGACTGGGGTCAGCATGCATTTAGCTTATATCATATAAATATCACTTTGGGTTTTTCATTACCTTTGCTGACATATCTGTGCAGAGCCAAGCTTTTGTTATCCTTGTTATGCTCCTGTTTTTGCCCTGGAGGCAGTTTGCACTTCACCATTGTACACTTAAATGCCCATATCTCCACTCCTGAAGAGCTCTAGACCGCTCCACAAGTTTTCTCCCCCTGCACGCAAACTTAAATTAGCTGATTTTAGTGCAAGTTTTTCACTTTATTTCCCTCATTTTATGACTACAGCCAGCATAAATATATTGATGGATCAAGCTTAGATTTTTTCTGGTTTATGCTACTTAGTTATCACAGGCACTGTGAACGGTACAATATTACCTTTACACCCTGAAAGAAAAAACAAATTCACAACTTATCAATTAACAAAGCAGTTGCCAGTAAATCAAGCTATATAGAGGTTTGTTGGCCATTATAAAAAGAGCCGTGCTATATTAAATGGTATCTTTATCTTTAAATGATTAATCTTTAAATTGACAACGCTGTATTAAACATTTATTTCGACACCGACAGCAATACGTAACCTTTTAAAAAAGCTATCAACACCTTGATCAAACTACTGAAGGCTCAGATTCAAACTGTTAAACTTCTGAATTTATATCGCTGGTAAATACTTAATTTTAAACACAAGATGGTTTTTAGTGTTAAATGTTACTAAATATTTATGTGTGTAAATTCTCTAGATAGAGACTGCATTCTCTGCTCACAGGTACAAATATTGGAACAGTCATTTGTATGCAGCCTTATCTGATATAGTTGGTATAGGACAGGCGCTGAATAATGCTTCATGCATGCACCGGAGGCATTACATTGGGACTTTGACTTACATGCATGGGAATTCAGTTAATACACACTCATGCTTTTTAAAATCTTGTGCACATTCATCGCCATAAATGTGTCTGTAATATATATACACACTAAACTGACATTTCAATTCAATTCAGTTTTATTTATATAGCGCCAAATCACAACAACAGTCACATCAAGGCGCTTTATATTGCACAGTAGATCGTACAATAATAAAATGGCAACATTTGTCACCACAAGTACACTGTAAGCTTCACACAAGCACACACATATTCCAACTTGCAACTAAACTCCTTGATTAAGGGTGCTCAATAGTCACACAGACGTACTTTGTTCTAGGACAAAGCAAATAACTAGCAGTGTTGTCTTCCCTGTCATTGACTGATCACTTATCAGTCTCAGGCATGCAGACAGGGCTGATGGCCATGGGCCCAGGCAGTGAGGAGAAAGCAGGACTTATATTAACTCATCATTCAGCACCTGTCTGATCATTCCTGTGGGTACGTGCAGGATGTGCTTCTATATGTGTATAGGTGTTATAGCTGGAAAGCTAGTACAGGTCACATTGTGACCCACTCAGGCTTGATGCTCAGTTTGCGTGATGGATGGCCAGTTTGAGCGCTCTCTGGATATTAATGGGTAGTGAATCAGAGCAAACTGTAACTGTTGAGGTTTGCGTGTGCTATCAATGTGTCAGACTGTTGAGTGATGTGAGTAAGCCACGGAGGCGTGCAAGCCATTTTTTCTTGTATTTTCTTGTTATCATTTCTGACAGAATTTAGACATGAACCACAGAAGCTGGCTTGGCCATACTTAATCCCTGCTGTGTTGTATGGTTTTGGTTTTCAGGGGAAAAGTCGACAAGGGGTTTATAGATGCATGCCTTTATGTAAAGGACCGCATGGAGGAGGTTTCATCCCCAGATAAAGAAATGGTAAGGATTTCTTTGATTGGACTTAATAGAATCGAACCCCACTTTACTATGGTAAGTTCTGTTTTTCCATTGTTTTCTGTCTCTCTCCTCAGCGCCAGGTTTTAGTGGTGCTCTACCAGGAGTGGTTCAGAGTCTCCAGTCAAAAAGACTCGCAGGCAGATACTGTCAGATTATACCTGCGACAAGTGGGGATGACCACACCCACTCTCCTGCCATATGTTGTTAACTTGACAGACGGCAATGGGAATATGGCTCTTCACTACAGCGTGTCACACTCCAACTTCCCTGTGGTTAAACTGCTGCTGGATACCGGTGAGACGGAAAGGCACACAGAACGACAAATCCAACTAAAAAACTAAAAGATTATAACTGTGGAAACGTTTTGTTTCTCATCTCTTTTACTCACTCCATCACTTTCTGTGTACATTCAGGCCTGTGTGAAACAGACAATCTCAATAAGGCAGGCTATACTCCAGTGATGCTGGCTGCTCTGACGGCTGCTGAGAGCCCCGATGATCTTGAAGTGGCACAGCAACTGTTGAAAGTGGGAGATGTCAACGCACGCTCCAGACAGGTGTGTATACAGACGGCAGTTGCACTTAGACGCTGGATGAACTAAAAATAAAACGGATATCAAACAGTTTGGTGTGTTGTACAAATAAAATAAAATAGAAAAAGGAAGTAAATACATGTCCTCAACTGCAAGACATCCTTTAGTGGAAACCATACAGGAATCATGAAAAGGACTGCAGAAGCAAATCAAGGTCACCAGAACGAAAATTTATGCATGTTTGTATAACAAGTTAATGTACTATTTAACTCGTCACTTTCTCTCTCTGTCTGCATGTAAGATATACATATCTTCCCATCATTCCTGCCCTCTCACTGTTTAATTCTAATCTCTGTTTTTCTCACTCTTTTTCTAGGCGGGCCAGACAGCACTCATGCTTGCAGTGAGCCATGGCCGCGTTGCCATGGTGAAGCTGCTCCTGAGCTGCGGCGCGGATGTAAATGCCCAGGACCGCGAGGGCTCGACGGCCCTGATGTGTGCCAGCGAGCACGGGCACACGCACATCGCTCGCCTGCTGCTGGAGACAGGTCGCTGTGATACCAGCCTCAAAGATAAGGTATAGCTTTAGGTTGTGCAGTTAAAATCAGGCCATTTAGTGGCTTGTTGTAAACTTGTAGATGTTTTACTTCTCGTTTATGAGACTTTCAACAATTAATTTCAGCACGTAATTCTTCGCTGTTCGCATTCGACTAATGGTCACATGGCTTTTACCACCTGGTTCGCTCAAAAATGGAGACTGTGGGCTCTCAGTAAGGTTATAGGGATATGGGAACTGATGGCTGGCCCACACAAAGTAGATTGATTGTTCAGCCTGGTGCATTGATTTCTCCAGTTTGTAGATTCCCCAGTCAGAGAGTGATCACATCATGGCCGGTGCTTTACGCTGCCGAAGCACTTCTGTAATGAGAGCAGTCCTAGAAACACAGAGGCAAATGGACTGGCTGCGTTAAATGGAGAGCAAAGACACTTAGTGTCCTGTGGCAAAAACAGGATGGATGCAGGTGTGGAGGTGAGTCTTCGTAAATGCCACAGGAAGAGTAGCAACAGTGTTGCAACAAATACCGTGCTGCATCTTACCCCAAAACAACATTAAAAGTAGGCACCGTATGTGATACAGAACATTTATGCTCATGTCTCAGGATGTGGCCTAATAGAATTAAAAGAAGGAGGAAAAAACACAAAGGTAATCTGCAAAAATATTCTTGCAGAAACCTGACATTGCAGATCTGTCAGCTGTATCATTTGACTGACGTCTTGGCATCAAGCGCATTTCTTAAACTGTAAGGAGATGTTCTTGCAAGTGATTGCATTCTGAAGAGCGTTTGTGGCAGCGGGTTGGGGAGATTGTTATCCGTGAGGACGCAAGCACCGATAAGCGTTCTTATTTCTGATAATTGCTGGTAGAGCGCGACTTGAGTGCTTGCCATAAATCCTCGCACGGTACATAATTACAGCACAAGCCCGACAGCGTTTATTTATTTTACTTTGCTGCATTAAAAAAAAAAAACATTATTGTAATCTGTGCATGTTAATTTTTAAAAATATGCTTGCAAGAAAATAAAGATGATCAAATAAGTAAGTAGGTGACAGTGGCAGTGATTAGATATTTGAGTGCATTTTCAAGAGATCAATCACATACTGGTCACAGTGTGTTATCCCTGTCGCTACTTTATCATATTGCCTGTGCAATAAGTAACAACACAAGATGAAAATACACAAAAAAAATACTCTAAATTTTCTTACATATGTTTCATAAGCAAAATGCAAGGTTTACTTGTATTAAGCTTAACATCAATACAAAACATCCCAGGCTTAAAACCTTTATTATATCAGAGACAATTGCTGTAGGATGTAAAAAGGGTTTTTTAGTATACAGAGTTAGGGCAGGTTCAGCATGCACCATACTCCTGATGTTCAGTTACTAGAGAATATGTTTAGCCCAAAACAACACTGCCACTGTGTGGTTCAAAAAAGTCACTGCAGTGTTTTGAAATGTCTGTTTTTTTCCCCCCAGAACGGTCAGACGGCTCTGTTGGTGGCAGAAGGAGCCTCTCAACAAGACATAATTGACCTTCTGAAGGCCAACGCTGAGGTCCAAACCTCTGAGTCCACAAGCACCACAGACCTCCACTGAGTCAGAGTTCTCCAAACCATCCCAGCTCGCCATTCAACCGCTCAACTGCTCTGTTTCCGTAAACCGTGGCCGCCAACGTGGGGAACAAAAACACTGAAATAAACACACGGTGATACTGCAGACATCATAAGACGTGGCAGGAGCTTTTCTTCCACGTCTATGCCAGTAATGCTGGTGGGTGTTGATGGATATGCTGCATCAACCGCTCAGGTCCACAGCTGAGGGTCCCGACAGCCTGATGAGAAGACGTTTTATAGGACACAGGGTGAGACTATAAAGCAGGACAACACATTGGGCGGCCTAGCAAGTGGACAGAGAGAGCCTCTGAACTGCTGCTTCCTATCATCAGCTAACTCTTAAAGCAAAATACTAAGCACATGACCTACCTTTGCAAATATAGAATATGAAATAATACATTATTTCTATTTTTTTCCCTTTCATGACATTGAAATCAGTCTTTACGTATTTGGACATAAGCCATTATTAAGGACATACTTTATGTAGAATAGATTATAATCACAAAAACTGTATTTTCTACTGCACTTTTTTTTTAAATTGTTGATGTGTTTCGTAAATAGTCCTCTATAATATTGGTGTCCAGATGAAATTATATATCTCCGAAAAGCATTCATTAGGAATTTGAATAACAGAATATAACTTATAACAGAATATATTTGACATTCAGTGTATCGTTTTTGCCGTACTACCCATCGCTTTTCACATGTGGGACATGGGTGCTCATCAGCTGTGTGTTAATGAGAAACAAATCCTTTCTGTGGGACATTAAACTATTTTTTATAACCACAACATGACCAGGCTGAAGAAAGATAACGCTCTTCTCTTATGAAGATTGTACTGCATGCCAATACGTTTACTCCCCCTACTGGCTGTCTTATAGTACTAAACAGCAGTATGTTGTAGCACTGTCTGTTCTCATAGCGACTCTCTCTTTCTCTGCATCTCCCGCCTTCAGTTCAAATATATTGTATGCCTTGTTCGCCTACTCGTTTTAAAATCAAACCATGTATGCAACTGCTACAAAATGCACAATGAATGTCAGGCTGGCTGTGACACATTCCAGGAAACTAATGTAGCAAGTTTAAATACACTGGCATGGGCTTTACGACTAACAGACACAGACTGTCAGTGGATGTGGCAGACATTGGAATGAGTCTGGTTATATATATTACGCGTGGCGAGACACATCGTCTCGTCCTTGCTTTCGTGAGGTCTCATTTCATAAATGGTAAGACAACATGGTAAATCTGACCCGAGGTTTGGGTTGAAGGTAGGGCTGGGACTTGGGTTTGCGTTTAAAGAAGCAATAGCAATTGAATACTACCTTACTGTCAGTCATAAAGTAGGTCGAGTGAGTGACCTTGGTCGAGCCTTAATCAGAAAACACAGGACATAAGATGTTTTCCACAGTGTTGATGTTTTTGTACCGCAAACCTACGTTCGTATTCCTGAGCTAATATAAAGCAGGAGTAGCGGTCTTTAAAATAAAGTTTACAGTTTCCCACTCAGTGACCGCTGCTGATGTCAAACAGTCCCGTATGTTTACAGTTAAATGAAATGCTGAAATGATACAACAGAATGGCATAAAATGATCTGTAATATAACATTATTATTATTATTAATTTTAGATAATTCATGTAGTTCATGGACTGCAAAGGAAATAGGGGGAGTAAGCCTAAATTAGAAAAGAAAATTGATAGGCAAATCGATCAAGTTCATTGTAAGCCTCTCTTTTCACCTGATTATGATCATATTTATGACTACTCTGATCTTTGTTCTCTTTTTTAAAGAGTTGGAGGTGGGATTTAAAGGGGAATACCACTTACTACTTTAACAACTGCCATATATGTGACCTATGACCATGATCCAGTCTGAATTTACAAAAGAAAAAAAGCTACACTCCAGACAGCTAACAAAAGGAAACGCTGAACATTTTTCTAGCATACAGACAAATCAAACCTATCAGCTGTTATTATCATTTATTAATAAAACTGGATTAGCAGTTGAATATTTGTGGCCATAGTGATACATCATGTCATTGGAATACATTACCATTTTGTCTTAATTGGTATTAATTTGGGGGGTTTTTGCAGTGGGGTTTGTCATTCTAGTTAATGTTTTCGGACACAAATATAAAAATATGTAGACTGACCATGACGCAGGACTCATTTTAAATGAAGTATATTATATAGATCTATATACTTTGACTTATATAGTACATTTACACAAGAAAATACCTTTTTTCACACTGACTTAGTAATCAGATAAGTATTTGTGGGGGCTCACAAAGTAGCACAGGTTCTCTCCACAACGACGCTGCATTCACACAACATCAGTAAATCTCAATGTTAACTCTGTGCAGCGCATCTGATCATCACTGACTGTCTGTGTATGAAGGAACAAAAATAAGAGTCTGTACAGCCGTAGCTTCCTGCATTGCAGACAGCCAAAGGATGATCGGGAGGGCGCTGCGAGAATTATCTGGTGAATCTGGTCTTCCGTGCCTGCGTATAAGTCTCTATGAAAATCTATATGTTTAATCCCCTGTGACCCAGATATTATAAGGTTTCACATGAGCACCAAAGAATTGAAACCAAATCTGTTTCACACGGGACTAAATATGTATGTTATCTTTTCCTGTAAATCCAGCCAAATATATGTATATGTACATACAGTATTGTGAAAAGTATATAACAAGTATTGTCTGACAGTTTGCTCTAAGATTACAGTATTTATTCCAAATGCTATATTTTTTATCGTATAATATACCTATGTATGCATGGACAAATATTCAAGTGATACAGCTCAATGGGAATTTTGAATGACTGAAAATTGTACTGAGTATACCCTGATGATGTGATCATTTAACTTATCTTTCATCGGTTGGGTGGTTATAGTACATAGTGTGATTTGATGAGGTTGTGGACTGTCATGTATCCTTTAATGCTACTCTTGACATTTCAGATCTGACACTGACTTAAGCTATGAGAGCAACGTCTCCCTTGTTTGAATATCAAAGTGGAAATCCGAGCCGACGTACATGACAGAGTCAAATGTAAAAAGTTGTACCTCTCTGTAAGATTCCTTGTACAACAGGCTTGTATGTTACAAACCAGAGAATTAATTCTAAATAAATAAATGATAAACTCATGTTGTCGCATATGATTTTTTCTTTTTTAAATCAACCACAAAGCTGTGACAGACATGATTAATTACACATTCGGGCCATTCAGGCAAAAGTATACAAAAACAGTTTCTGTCGGAAGATGTGAAAAAGTAAGTACATCCCAATGAAAACAGTTTTTGTCTCATGTATTGTGAAGAAGTGCTGAAAACTGCAGTGGCTTGAGTCTGGCTCCAAAATTAAGTATACCTTATGGATAAAATGATAAAATGCCCAACTTCAGGTGCTGGAATGGCTCAGTGGGTTGAGCAGGCTCAACTTTCTAATCTTGTTTAGTCTTTACCTCACAATATAAACCCTGAGGTCACCGTTTTTATGAATTAGTTCCATATAAATAACATAAAATACATTTATAACTCTGGAAACATCCCACTGATAAAATGTGATATAAACATATCACATAAAATGTTACAGTCATGCAGCCGTGTGTGCACCCTGTGATACATGAGCTTGCAGAATTACTTTTAGCAGCAATAACTTGAAGCAGTTGTTTTCTGTATGGCTTTAACAGTCTCTCACATCACTGTTGAGGAACCATTCTTCTTTTGCACTCTTGCTTCAGTTCATTGAAGTTCGAGGGTGTTCATTCATGCTCAGCTCTCTTAAGTTTCCACCACAGCCTTTCAATCGAGTTGAGATTTGAACTTTGACTGAGCCATTGCAGCACTTTGATTCTTTTTATGCCGCTGTGTTTGGGTCCTGTTGCATGACCCAGTTTGTGCCAAGCTTCAGCTGTCAGACAGATGGCCTCACATTTGATTCCAGAATACTTTGGTTTACAGGAGTTTATGGTCAACTTAATGACTGCAAAGTACCCACATCCTGGTTCTGACAAACAAGCTCAAATCATCACCATTCCACCACCATGCTTGAAAGTTGATATGAGGTGTGCTGTAATTTTCACCAAACAAATCTCCACTTCGGTCCGGTCTTTCCAAAGGACATTGTTCAAGAAGTCTTGCAATATATTCAGATATTTATTTTCCATAACAAAGCTGTCTTGTTATGTTATTTTTAGAAAGAACACACTTTCTCTTGTCAACCCTTCCAAACAAGCTATATTTGTTCAGCCTTTCTCTGATTATACTCTCATGAACTCTAATGTGCCCGTAGAGTCTGAGATGTAACTCTTGGGAGTTTTGCAATTTTATCTGAGCATTCAATGGTCTGAGCTTGGAGTGAATTTGCTGGGACATCCACTCCTGGAAAGATTATGGCATTCTGTTAAGGCACACCTGAATGCTTCAAGCCAGCTAACTGATCAAAACTTTTATAGCTTCAGTGCATCTGTAATAAATATGTGCAAGTTTCAGTGCTTCGTTTAAACTGTATGATACTTATACTGACCCAGGGTCAGTGTAAAATACAATCCTAGCTGTGTGAACAAAGCCTGGCTTCTTTAATCCTGCATGACAAACCTCAGGATGCAGGTTATTATTACTCTTTCCTGCTGGCACACCTGTCACACCTGAGAGTCAGCTAGAAACTTACAGTGACGTGGACATCGTGCAAAGACTGCCAGACTCTGTAATACTGCAAATGATCAGTGACTCGGGTTATCACTAAACTTTAAACGGCACCTCTGTGTCTCTGTGTGCTGAACATTTAGGATTGAGTCAGGCTGCATCAGCTGAAGCTCTTATTTGTATATATCAGTATTTTTTATTCAGGTGTGGGGAAAATACGTAACACTGCAGTGAAGCGATGCACCAGAGTAATCCCTGGCCAAAGGTATCGTACTTAAATCAGACTACTGATCCAGCCACATCAGCCTTTTGTGAGGTCTGTTTAAAGTTGACTAAAAGTCAACTGCAGGTTCCTGAGAGGTGGACTGTGAGCACAGAAACACATGTTCATACACACAGCTGCAGCAAACTTACATTAATTTTAAATAGATTTGTTACTCTGATGTCTGTCTCTGTGTTAGTCCTCTGACAGACTGATGACCTGTCCAGGTGTGCTCTAACTATGACTACTGGGACAGGCTCTAGCCTCTGTAATAGAAATGTTCTGTTATTCTCATTTAAAGTATTTAAGTGCTTATGCATATGCTTAGTTGTGACGCTGTTACTGTTCAGTGAAAGTTTCTAAAACTAGATGAACTTACTTCAGCAGTTTGAGAGAACAACTCCCTTTACAGGTGCTGATAAGGCCACAAAACAGCTTAACCATTGATCCATTAGGTTTCATAGCGAGACACGTGAAGTGTGGTAGGATCAGTCTGTAACTTCCTCCCTCTTCCTTGGAATGCATAATGGAGTAGGAGCACCACTTCTGTGGCAGCGCTGACTGTGAACTATGATGTTTGATGTGTGTTGGCGCAGTAATAAATAGCTTGATCACAGCTCTTTCTGTGTTGCAGACTTTATTTAAAAAATTCCACAACACCTCCCACCCTCCCACTGTGAACATGAATTGAATATTCAGAAGACATTTGTTTAAATAGTTCTACAAATCTGAGCTGTTGGTGTGTCCTTGGATTGTGTGGTAATAATATTAGAGCCTGCAATCTTTCTTACTGAATCTCTACTATGAGTCATGTTACCTGAGATTAATTCAATGTTTACCTGTCAGGCTGGACGAATGTGCTGTGTGAAGGAAATTAAATTAAATCAGATCTGAACTGCGTACATTTAAGGAACCTGTTCATATTTAATTGAAATATGAACCAGTGATTTTTTTATTGCTGATTCCTAGAGAGTCTTTGTGGAAATCCTGTTTGGCCTTTTTGTTATTTTAATTCTCTTCTCTGTTTTCCAGAACAGTTCTCCACAGTCGCTGTCCACATGGGTCAGTGGGACCAAGAAGCACTCTGCTAATGTGTGGACTCTGACCAGTAACATCCAGCAGGACCCAGACAGCGTTTTCTATCTCCCAGCTGGAGTTTTTTGTTTGTCTGTGACTGGAGAGTCAGATTTTTGTTGAGCTTCACACTTGCAGAGGTAAGTCAGTTGGCAGAGATTCCTCCCACCCTCTGAAACAGTAATATTTCAGTGACTGCTGCTTGTACCACAGGTTAATACACGCTACTGATCCCTGATAGGAGAATCATCAATTTTGGCAACAAAGAAGCCTGGTGGATGTTTGTTTACAGTCTGATGATGGGACATCATGCTCTGCATCTTCAAAGTTTGCCTCCTCATTATTATTCATACCCAGTAATGTGAAGTATGCTTATATCTACTATAACTGAACAAACGCGGTGGTATTCATTTATGGAGGCTGTTGAGTCTGAATGTTGGATGTTGTGAATCTCGTGTTCTCTGGGTTTTGTTGTCCTCAGTCTTTTCGCAGGATCAGAAAACAAAACCAGGAGGCGCGTAAATGTTTCTTCTCCATGATGTTTCTTCAAAAGTTTCTTCTGGATGATGATAAGAGTGTGAGACGGGATGCCACCTTTGGTCTTGTGATGAAGCAAAGCTCAGGAAGAAGTGGGATTAAATGGGTTCACACAGACACTTCAAACCTGAGGACAAATCTAAGAGAACAGAAAAAAGAAAGGAAACTTAGCTTAGAACCATGCAGCACTACAGGAGACGGCAGCACTGCAGAGGTGAGGACCGGCACCTGTTTGAAAGAGACAAATACAC